CAACCTTCCTTCCGAGGAGTGGCTGGTGGGTTTGAACCGCCAGCCTTCTGGTTAGCGGTCAAGTGCTTTAGCCACTATGCTACCAGAGCTCCTAAGGTCAAAGCTATAGTGTCACTATAATGTAACAGGGTTAGGTTGAAATATTATCTAAGAGCAAAGGAAAGGACCCAGAGATATTTTCAGCTATGTCAGAATTGTTGGATTAAGTACAGGGTTTCCCAAGATGATTTTGAAGGGAAAGATCTATTCGTGTATGTGGTGAGGTTCCAGTGTCTTCATTTAAAAGTCCTTGGAATCACACTGTGTAGCCTACACTCATCTAGACCAGCTTCTTTAGAAGGAATGGTGACCACCTCTTATTGAGATATTCATTGATATAGAAGCATCAATAACATAGATAACCCCAGACCTGAGAGATGACACTCCATTTTGTTTTTGGAAACAAAATCAGTTAAAGAAGAAGGAAATACTATAGAGATCACAAATCATTTGGAAGCTCTCCCCTCTCTTGGCTTCTTTAGAAACCCATTTTGCCAAGTTGAAAATGTCCCATAACTGAGAAGGAGCAAAAATATGTAGAGATTGGGATAAGGGATCTGGAACTCGGGAGACAACTTCAAAACCTTTGCAGGAGTTTTCCTGCTTTAGTCTCTGAGGTGGTCACTGTGTGTCCCCAGGCTAGGCCAATATGTCGGGTTAAATGCTCAGACTCTGGAGCCTGAGTCCTGAGTTCAAACCTTTGAATGATCCACTACTATCTGTACAACCTTGGGCAGGTTTTTTTAACCTTTCTGAGCCTCAACTTCCCATCCCTAAGATGAGGTTGATAATAATAGTGCTATCTTCCTCTATCTTCCTCTGACACTCTTGTTGAGGGTATTAAGTTAATGCAAGTGAAAAGTCTGGCACACAGTAAGTGCTCAGTAAATGCTAGATGTCATTGTTAAGGCAGGCTGAGGCCTCCCCTCCTCTCCCAAAGGGATTTGGAAGCCCCTGTTATGGCTCTGGAGGTATCTGCCTTCCTCCCTTCCTTTTCACCCTTTGTTGTTGTTGTTATGTGCCGTTGAGTCAAACCCGACTCATAGCGACCCCTCCTTGGGTTTCCGAGGCAGTATCACTACTGAAGTAGGATTGCCCAACCTTCCTTCTGAGGAGTGGCTGGTGGGTTTGAACCGCCAGCCATCTGGTTAGCAGGCAAGTGTCTTAGCCACTATGCTACCAGAGCTCCTTTTTCACCCCTAGATGCCCCTTATTATGTGGATGACTAAAACCACACACCCCTGACATAGAGACAGCTCACCTGTCTCTAAGGAATAAGTGAACAAGATGACAGCAGATTAGGTAAGGGATGGGCAGTGGATAAAAATTAAGATGATGACATCAGTGTTTCTTAGTAGCTTTCATTTCATAACATACTTGCCAATGTTTAAATTAAAAAGGGGCCATTGTCGGGTTGGCCAGGATTTTCTTAGGCCAGCTAACTACTAAAAAGTTTCTCTGTATTCTATTACTCCTCACAGCTCATTGTGTGGTTTCATTTCCATCCATCCATCCATCTATCCATCCATCCATCCATCCAATTATTCAAGAAATATTTATTGAGCACCTATGATATGCCAAGTATCAAGCTAGGCATTGGGGATAAACAGTAATCAAGAAAGTCCTTCAGGAAACTTAAGAGTCTAGTAGACATTTATAAGTTTTCTAGAAAGCGATTTATATTTTAAAAAAATTTAAAAGGGTGAATAATGCTCAGTAGGTTATACTGTTTGGGTGACTGAGAAATTGTTATCCAGATAGGCAAGAGGGTACTAGAGGATAGATGAGTGAATACTAAGGGAGGAAGGAGTCCCTGGGTGGTACCAATGGTTAGCATGCCCAGCTGCTAACCCAAAGACCAAGTTTAAGTTCACTCAGAGGTGTCACAAAAGAAAGGCCTGGTGATCTATTTTCCAAAAATCAACCATTGAAAAACTTATGGAGCACAGTTCTATCTGACCCTCATAGGGTTGCTGTGAGTTGTAATCAACTCCATAGCAATTAGTTTAGGGGAAGAAAAGACTTTGAGATCATTTATTCGAACCTCCTAGCTTTATAGACTAGCAGACCCAGGTCTCGAGAGGGGGAAGTGACTTATCTGAGGCCACTCAGGAAGGTGATGGAGAGAGAGGGACAGAGAAAGATTCTATAGATGAAGGGGGGCATTATTGGAATTGGTCAATAGATTGGGTGAGCAGGTATTAGCCTGTCAGGAAGGAGGTGCAGGAGAGGAGGAGGAGAGCACCCTACTCCTCATCGGGATTTGAGAAAAAGCAAAAGGGATCCAGGGAGTGCAAGACATCTCACATCCCTACTGATGGCCTCTCTGGGCACTTCTTTCAACTTCTGTACTTCAGGGAAAGCATGCCACTCACACTTGGACAACGCCACTGTCCCTCCCCACCTCCTCTCAACCTCCCTTTCTCAATCTTTCCCTGATCCCTCCTTCCTGGTGTCCCTCCTTCTATTTCTGTTGCATTCCTCATCCTTGAGTCCCTCCTATGGGCTGGGCTCTGTCATGGATGCTGGGATGGGGGAGAACACAGCAGAGGAAATAATAAGGAACATCTAGTTTGGGCACAATCTAGTTAAATAATGAACAACTCATGCAATATGCCAAAAGGCATGCCTGCTGATGCTTTAGGAGACGTGAGGGAGAGGGTAGGGCTGGAAAGTCTTCTGAGGTAAGATGGGGTTAGTTGAATTAGTAATAAATAATTATAACAGCGACTATTTATTGTACACTAATTATGTGCTTGGCATTTTGCATCCCTTCCTCATTTAGTCCTGACAACACTCTGGGAGGTAGACATTATCTCCCTTTTACAGATGAGGGAACTCAGGCTCAGGGCTTAAATTAAGTAACCTTGTTCAAAGTCACATGCCAGGTTTGGGCAGACCTAGGATTTGAACCCAGGTCAGCCTGACTGCACAGTACACACTATGCACCACCATCTCTAAGGAGGGCTCAATGCACCTCCACAGAGAGCATTCCAGACTTTGGTCAAAGAAAGAAGTAGACAAAAGAAGCACAGGTGGCAAAATGGCTACTCAAACGGCCTTTTAGAATGACCCTAACAAGGCTACCTCTCCGGGCACTTGTGAGGCAGGGGAAAGACAAGGCTGGTCCAAGGGTAGTTGACCCCCTGAAGACCCAGTGCTCCACCTCACCCACAGCAGCAGCCCATCGCAAGAGATGGTGGGAGAAGACGTGTCATCAGCCCAAGCAAAGTCTCCTCACCCTGGAACTGTGGGCTGGGACAGAGTGGCACTTCCAGGTGCCTGCATTTTCAGAACCCTATAGCTTCAGCCTTGTTTATGACCATTTCCCATCCAGAGACCACATATGCATAGATGCATGTGTGCACACACACACACATTCACACAGACACTTACACATATACTCACACACACATGCACAGAGACATATACAAATACAGATACACACTCACGTGGACTTATACACACACACCCTCTCTTACATACTCACACCGATTTACACACAGACTTACACATACATTCATGCAGACTTACACACATACAGACTTACACTCACACAGATTTATACCCACAGAGACTTAGACTCATACACACAAGCACTCACACATACCTGCATCACTTGAGTTTCAGTTCAGAATCTTGCCAAGATGTGACTGGCATCCCCATCTGGGTCACATGCCCCCTTTCTGCTGCCAGGTCCCCAGACTCACTTTGGCTGGGACCAGAGAGTGCGGCATCTACCTCTCCACTCAGGGCCTCGGGAGAGCAGATAGGAGCCACCGGAGGTGTCAGGGCAGGCAGCAGGATCTCCTCTTGTTGCTGTCAGTGTGATGGCTGCTGAGGCAATTCCTAATGACTGAGCAGGTCGGGAGGACAGCACTGGGAAGTGAATGTCACCCAACCCGTTTGAGGCCAGGAGGCTCTTGGCGTTGCCCAGGGGTTTGGCAGCTGCTG